CGAAATGTGACTCTGTGGTATCGTACCGTCCGAGTGTGGTCTTATTATGCCGCTGAATTTTTGATTTTTGGCATGGTATGCACTGCCTTGCCCAGATTGCAACGTCYTRKTGAATGTTGGGCCAGACGAATCTTTGTTTGATGAGTCGGGTAGTCGCTCGAATACCAGGATGTGCAATGTCGTGTGTAGCGTTAAAAATTGTTTTGCGACATGACTTCGGAATGTAAGGTGTGCATTTGTTGTTTGAGATATGGCAATATATCTGTTGTGCTGAATTGAGCACGGGCATCTWAGTCAAAATTATGCTGTAGCGGTCGTTCCCTTGAAGAATGGCTTTCAGTTCACTGTCCGCATTCTGTTCTGCCGCAATGACCTCGTAGTCGATAGGTTCGCGTTGCATTACATTGATGCGTGAAAGGAAATCGGGTACTGTGTTTTCTTTAMCCTTTACGTAACGTATATCAGTCGTAAATTGGCTGACGTAATGCAAGTATCGGAGGTGTCGTGGCTCTGCCTTTTCGGGTTTCTGTTTAAAAGCGAAAGTGATTGGTTTGTGGTCGGTGTAGATCGAGCWACATCTACCTTCGAGTTGATCGGCGAAGTATTYAACGSTTTTATATACGGCGAAAAGCTCTCTTGAGTATGTACTCCAATTACGTTGAGATGTTGTTAACTTGCGTGAAAAAAATCCTAGGGGCTGCGCCTCGTCGTTTTTTATTTGGTGCAGCACGCCTCCGATACAGTTGTCTGATGCATCGACTGATAGTGTRAGTTGTGCGTTTTCTTGTGGATGCGCGAGCAGGGTTGCATTGGCTAATTTTAGTTTAAATTAGTTGAATGCTTTTCGCGACTCTTCGGTCCACTGAATTTTGCGTTTGTCGTTTTTGATGTTGCCCGGAATAAGCGCTTACAGGATATCTTGAGTATGTGCAGCGCCGGGTATAAATCTTCGGTAGAAGTTGATAATTGCTATGAAACGTCGTAGGTCCTTTGCGATGGTTGGTTCCGTGTAAGCGTTTATTGTCTCTACTTTTTCTGGCAGTGGCAAGATACCGTTGGGTGTGACTAAATGACCGAGATACCTCACGTTTGACTGACCAAAAACACATTTATTGCCGTTAACGGTTAAGCCGTTTTGCTTTAAACGCTCGAACACAATTCGAAGGTCTTGCTGATGTTGAGCTTCGGTGCAGGACGCGATGCAGTTGTCGTCTAGGTATGGTACGACAAAGTCTAGTCCTCGAAACACACTGTCGATGTGTCGTTGAAATGTTTGGCCCGCGTTGCATAACCCAAATGTCATGTATCGAAATTCGAATAAGCCGAACGGAGTTGTTATGGCCGTTTTTTCGATATCATCGGGATGCATGGGTATCTGGTGGTACGCCCTTTMTAGGTCGATGGTTGAAAATATGCTTTTGCCCGCAAATACTTGATGAAATGTCTGGATATTTGGAATGGGGTACCTGTCCTTTTCGGTGACGGCGTTTGGTGCCCTATAATCCCCGCACGGTCTCCAGGTATTGTCCTTTTTAGGGGCCATATGAAGTGGCGAAGCCCATTGACTTTTGGACGGCTGGCAAATACCCTTCGCCATCAGGTATTCGAATTCCGCTTTGGCGGCTTTTAGTTTTTCGGGTGTGAGGCGACGTGGTTTTGCGTTTACTGGTGGACCGATCGTGCCGATGTGGTGGAACGTTGCAGTTTTGGCAATGCGTTTATTAYGTGACGGTGCGAATATTTCCTTAAATTCTGAGAGTAATTCTGTGTATTTGTTTGTACCAGTAACAAGTTTAATGCCAATGTTAGCTGTAGCTCGCGTTATTCCGTATGTATGTAATCTCGTCGTTCTATCGATTAGTAATTTGTTTTTTAAGTCTACTAGCAGGTCGTAGTGTGTTACAAAATCCGCGCCGATAATTGGCGATTTTACGTCGGCTATGCAAAATGCCCATTCAAATGGGCGGCGGATGCCGAAATTTAGTTTCAGAGTTTTCTGTCCAAATGTTTGTATTGGTGTTCCATTCGCCGCGTAAATTGACTGGGTAATCGTCGGTTTATGAATGTTGTTTGTT